CTTAGGAAGGCAAAATCAGTTTCACACATACAGAATGGGAAGAGACTGTCTAGGAAGGATACGGCAAAAAGGGATCTAGGGGTTATAGTGGACCACAAGCTAAATATGAGTCAACAGTGTGATGCTGTTGCAAAAAAAGCAAACATGAGCAAGACACGAGAAGTCATTCTTCCGCTCTACTCTGCGCTGGTTAGGCCTCAACTGGAGTATTGTGTCCAGTTCTGGGCACCGCATTTCAAGAAAAATGTGGAGAAATTGGAGAGGGTCCAGAGAAGAGCAACAAGAATGATTAAAGGTCTAGAGAAACATGACCTATGAAGGAAGGCTGAAAGAATTGGGTTTGTTTAGTTTGGAAACGAGAAGACTGAGAGGGGACATGATAGCAGTTTTCAGGTATCTAAAAGGATGTCATAAGGAGGAGGGAGAAAACTTGTTCACCTTAGCCTCTAAGGATAGAACAAGAAGCAATGGGCTTAAACTGCAGCAAGGGAGGTTTAGGTTGGCCATTAGGGAAAAGTTCCTAACTGTCAGGGTGGTTAAACACTGGAATAAATTGCCTAGGGAGGTTGTGGAATCTCCATCTCTGGAGATCTTTAAGAGTAGGTTAGATAAATGTCTATCAGGGATGGTCTAGACAGTATTTGGTCCTGCCATGAGGGCAGGGGACTGGACTCGATGACCTCTCGAGGTCCCTTCCAGTCCTAGAATCTATGAATCTATGATGGCTGTGCCAGAAGGAAGTCGCATGGAGTTGTTCTGGGTTTATGCCAGTGTAACTTGAGGCAGAATCTGGCCCTCAGTCCTTGCAAAGCCATGTTTGTCAATCAGTACTCCTCACCCCCTTGCACTTGGACTGGTCTGTTTCACTGTTAGCTTCTCTGGCTGCTAAGATGATGTGGTAACGGGCCTGAACGCCTTCGCTCTTACCTTGGTTTCCTGGTTAGGAGCTTTAGTGTTGCTAACAAGGTATTTTTAGTTTCCAGAGAAGAGCAGTCTTTTAAATTACAGTTCTGTTCCTTCCCATTGGTGTATGGGCTGAGCACAATGGAGGCTACTCAGGCAAACCTTCCTGCATGTTGATGGAGGGGTGTGTGTGTGTGTGTGTGTGTGTAGGGGTGTGTGTGTGTGTGTGTGTGTACACTGTACATTGACCAGAGCCAGAAGGGAATGGGATGAACTGTGTTTTCTGCATTTCCTATGGTTCTATCTACCCCATTAAACATTTATATCCCTAAAGGGAAGAATCAAATCATAGAATAATAGCACTGGAAGGGACCTTGAGAGGTCATCTAGTCCAGTCCTCTGCACTCAAGGCAGGACTAAGTATTATCTAGACCATCCCTGACAGGTGTTTGTCCAACCTGCTCTTAAAAATCCCCATTGATGGAGATTCCACAACCTCCCTAGGCAATTTATTACAGTGCTTAAAACCACTCTGCCCGTTAGGAGGTTTTTCCTAATGTCTCTTCTTCCAAGAGAAGAAATGACCCTTAGACATTAGAGTTGTAAAAGACCTACCAGTCATTGCTTGAGTCATTTAAAACTGGGCAGCGCAGAGCACAGGTGAGAATATAAAGTACGGAAAAATCATACATTGGAGGCGAGAATCTAGCAGGTCTATTTCATCTCCATCCTCTGTGATTCCCCACCCCCCACTGGAGCAGAACTTCTCCTGTTGGTCTGTTCTCTGATCAAGCCTGCCATCTGGTTGAGTATATAAATGTCCTAAGCAGTCGGCCTTCCATTGTGTCTTTTGGGAAACCCACCCCGCCATCAAATGAGACCTTGCTGGGAGTGGACAGGAAGCAGAATGCACGGACTCCCTGCTTGTAGAATCACTTTGTATCCCTACTATTGGTTGGATTTAGTTGTATGCTTAGGACGTCCTACGTGGGTTGATGGGGAATGTGCATGGAAGAATTGGTGGAGCTCTGGGGCAGGCAGGTTGTTTCCAGTCAGGATGCAGTCCAGCAATATCTCAACAAATACTAGGAGGATTTAATGTGTGACACCTTGGTTGTCTTAGCCCATTTCCCGGTGGGCCGCTGTCCACATTGCAGTAAAACCCATCTGAATTGGTGCTCCCATGTTGATAGCTTTCATGGAGAGGCCCTGGATTCTGTGGCTCAGAGAGGCTGAGTGGGGACCCCGTCTAGAGGTGGTCCCCCATGTCAGGTTTGGGGTATGGCGTGAGGCTGGGTTGGGATGTCTGCACTGACACGCTGAACGCTGCACACTCCTGGACTCAATTTTCCCCTGTGCCTGAATTCCACCTCCCTGTTGCCTCTAACTTAGCACCACCTCTACTGAAGAATTGGTTGAGCTCCCTCTCCCACCACATCCCTACACTGTGTGGTGCTGGGGAAGGAGTTGTGTTCGGCTTTATGCCAGTAAGGTGTTTGTCAGCCAGGGGAATTCTCCACGGGTCATTTGTGGCCAGAGTTTGCACCACGTGAGTGGCTACATGTGACCAGATCGTACCAGAGAATCCAGGGCTCCGTGCTCTGTAGAGAGAGAGGGCTGTGGTCCATAGGCAGCACTTGAATTCACCAAACCTCAGCTGACGTTGGTGAAGGGTTTTGAAGACTGAAAGCGTTGTACAGGAGTTGAGTGCGCTAATTATTAAAGAAAAACCACCAGCCATCACGAGAATCCAATTTCCCTCCTTGTTTCAGGCAGGGCTTCTAAAGAAATGGCCCCCAATTCTGAAGTGTAAGTGTGTGTCTGTGTCTGTGTGTGACTGACTTCCACAGGGCAGGGAAGCCTGCCAGCACATCGTGCTGACACTTCTAGTTTGCTCTTTCATATCGGGATGCAAAAGGTTGACTCTGTTCCCTCAGGAACAGCTCTTATAGATTGTTATTTTCCTCTCTGGTATATTTTTTTTTTCTCCCCTTCTCATCTTTCCTGATTGAGTGCACCAGGGCGTAGAAGGCTCAAGAAAAATCACCATGAAATGTTTGAGGAAATAGCTGGACTCTTAGTATTGATCAGTTTTGGTAGTATTGGGTATTTTTTGAGATGCTCTAACCTCCCACGGGAGAAACCAGCCATAATCTGCTCCTTATCCCCGGAGACTCTGTTTGCAGCAGCTTTGGCACTGAAGTTTCATTAATTTTGCTGTGTTCACTCGAGTGCTGTTCTCCTTCAACTGGGAATTACTCAGAGGTACTTGTGGTTTGGGGCGATTCTTTTCTGAAACAAAATGCTTTAAGCCTTGACCGTAGTGCAGTTGAAATCTCGTGTCTCTGTTTTCCTCATGCCCTTTGCGTTTCTTGTCTGTTTAGGTTGCAGGCTCTTCAGGGCTGGGACCGCCTCTCGTGGGGCTGGCGCAAAGGGATTTCAATAGCCTTTGGGGGGGTGTTTTCACAGTGTCCGCACAATAGGGATCGAATCTCATTTGGGGCCTCTAGCACTACTTGAATGCGGATAGCGATGGTGGTGATAATGCGGTTGGGATTTCTTGGTGAATTTTTTCCTTCCCTCTCACCTTGCTGTTCTAGAACGGACTCCAACCATGTTATGGATTTGCAGCTTCCAAAGCCTTCAGTGGGAGGCGCTAGCACATACCTGACAGCAGGCGTTGATCTTAGACTACATTTTCAAAGGAGCTTCCGTGTGCGCAAAAAAACAGTTCTACTCACAGAATCATTTTGCATGTACATCTGCCCACCTGCCTTAGGTGCTTATCTGGCCCCGTCTCCTTAGTATCTGAGCGCCTATCCTCACAGCACCTCTGCGAGGTGGGGCAGGGTATTTGTCCCCGTTGTACAGAGGAGGAATTTTAGGGACAAGAAGATGAAGTGTCTTGCTTAAGGTCACCCAGGGAGACTGTGGCACAGCAAGGAATTGAACCTGGGTCTCCCGCATGATGAGTTAGCTCCCTAGCCATTGGCTGACCTTCCCCTCTGTACACATGCAGCCTTGTGCATGCAGAAAATCATGGCTGCTGGCCTCATTCTCCTCTCTCCTATGCAGGTGTGAATCGGAAAGAACTCCGCTGAAGCAAATAGAATGACACTGGGATAAAAGTAGTGAAACAAAGAGGAGGATGGAGCCCAGTGTCTGGAAAAACGGGGCCCTTGCTTCATCGTTATGGTTGGAAGGGCTAGTTCCAGCATCAGCAATTCGGACATGTTTACACTGCAATCAGAGGGGTGGTTGTAGCTCGGACAGGCGTAACTGCGCTAGCTATACCTGCACTTGCAGAGCTAAAAATAGCAGCGGAGACATGGTGGCATGGACACCTGGTGCAGGCTGGCCATGCAAGTATGGACGCAGGGTTCCAGGTGCACTTGTGATATTTATAGCCATGCTGGCTAGATGAAAGCTAGCGTGGGTATGCCTGCCTGCCTGCCTAAGCTGCAAGGACACCTCTGATTGCAGTGTAGACTTAGTCAAAGTGCATGCGTTGTCCTTGTAACCAGATGTTCTTAAACTCTGCTGATAAAGACAGTGAATGAAGCAGGGGGAAATCATTCTTGAGAGTAACAGTCTACAGGAGGAAATGTCATCCAGTGATTAGATCAGCGACGTGGGGATTCTACTCCCGCTTTGTGTCTTTTGGCGAGCTCATTGTCTTCTCTGTGCGCCTCAGTTTCCTTACGTGTATCTTCTCCCATATCTCCTAGCAGAACCGTATCTGCCTCGTTGGGGAGGGGGTGGCGGGGGGTTTGATTAATGAATGGATGTGTGTGAAGTGTTTGGAGATACTCAGTGCTTCGGAAAAGCAAAGTCCCACTCAGAGAGGGACCTTTAGGACAAGGACATCATGGAAGTTTTCCAACTCGAAGAACAAAATCTCCTCTGTTAAGAACACTTGATTTGAGCTTCCTCGTTCTTTCTGGTCCCCAGCCCTGTGTAACGTATCCTAACAAACCCCGCTACTGTTCTCAGCCGCTTGGCTGCTGTTCAGCCCGACGAGCCATCGAGGGAAGGGCTTGAGGAGCTGCTCTGTCTGGGGTTGTTTTCTGATCTCCCCCTCTCACTTGCCCTTTCAGGAACAGAAGTTTTGCCAGCGCTATGACCAGCTGATGGAAGCCTGGGAAAAGAAAGTGGAGCGCATTGAAAATAACCCCCGGCGCCGTGCCAAGGAGAGCAAAGTGCGGGAGTACTATGAGAAGCAGTTCCCAGAGATCCGGAAGCAGCGGGAACTGCAGGAGCGCATGCAGAGGTTAGAGGAGAAGCGGTAGGAAGAGGCTAGGCAGCCTTTCTCCTTTGCCTGTAGGGGGCTCGGGTTCAAAGATGGTTTTAAATGGCTGGGGGTGGCTCCCGGGTAAACAAGCCCCCTCCTTTTCCTGCAATGGAATAACTGTTAGATGCACAAACCACAGAGCCCCATGAACAAATAACTTGGCTGCTTTCTCCCCAAGGGGGATCAGCCTAGCTCAGACTGTCTACAGAGGAGGAGGAATTTCAAGAATCCAGATCTCCATTTTTCCTGTGTTGTTAATTTCCTGGCTGGCCACATCATAACGCACGGAGTTAGTTCCACACTCTGAACATCTGACTGGGAGAGGGTATACCTAGTTTCATACTAGGAGGCTCAAATCAAGGTGGACAGACCCAGTCTAATTATTTAGTCATGTAGATAGTTAAAACCATATCTAGGCTTTGATCTAGGTATGTGCACAGAGGCCAAGCGTCTGCAGAACGTGTAGAAATGATTGCAAAAGATCTGAAGGTGTTAAAGGTGTTGCTCTCTCGCTCCATTCATATGATCAGCATTGTCCACCACCACTGCCATCCCCACAGCTCATTTACCTCTCCTCAACTCACTTCATCTTCAGAAGCACTCTGAAGGTCAGGCTGTTCCAGAGCAAAAGGAGGAGCAGCTGAGCAGGCGATTGTTGGCTCAAGAAGCCTTAGCAAGTCAGGACCCAGACTGTTTAGTGTGGTGCCATATTCCGTGGGAGTTTTACCATTGACCTCAGTGCGAGCAGAGTTGGGCACTTGTAAAAGTCCCACCCTACAGCTTCTTTGTCTGTAGCTTTTCTAAAAATGTGTGTAGTCAAATCAAAGAGCATAGGCTCTGTCCGTGAGTTTAGACCCCATGTTTAGATCTTAGCTGCTTAAAAAGAAAAGCGTTTAAAAAAAATCTAATATTAACAGGCAGGTTTTTCAAAAAAATTGTTAATGGAAGCTTTCTTTGTCTGGGTCTAAGCATTTCCCTGCAGCATTTGCAGCCCAATCACAACTGCAGTGGGCAAGATGACCTGGAGCTGAGCAGAAGCAGAAGTGAAACAGTGACTGGTTTATCGCAGTGTTCAGGATGAATGAAATACAAAACTATGGTGGAAAGTCATATGGATTGTAAATATTCCTAGAGTTAATCGAAAGGCTTATCTACATGGAGATGCCGCGTGTGGCAAGCCAGGGTGTGAATACACAGCCCAGTAGCCTGCCTGGCCCTCCGTCGCCAGGTGGACACTGCTCCTGCGCACTGGAAATTCCCTAGCGCGCTTTGACACACGTTCCCTAGCACGCTGCAGATTTACACGCTGGCTTGCCGCACGCTAAGGGCTTGTCTACACCACGCAGCTTTTAGTGACAAAGATGTGTCGACACAGCCTTGCCGCTAAAAGTCAGCGTGTGTCGACGCTCTTTTTCGGTACTTTGTCGGCACTTTTGCTGACAAAATACTTCCAGCACCACGAGCGGCGTTAGCTTTGTTGGCAGGAGCGTGCTCCTGCCGACAAAGCCGTATTCACACTGCCACTTGCGTCGGAAAACTTTTGTCTTTCGGGGGGGGGCTTTTTAAAGTACCTGTGAAAGACAAAAGTTTTGTTGACAACTTTGCACTGTAGACAAGCCCTGAGTCTCCAGGTAGACACAGGAAAGGACATGGGTTGGGTTGGGTTTGGTTTTCTTTAATTGTAGGCCCCAATCCTACAAGTGCTTGCGGTTGGGTGTGGTGCTCACTGCTGGGACTGCTCCCAGTGGAGTCAGTGGAGCTGCTCCTGGTAGTAAGCACTACACCCAGGAGTGAGAGTTTACACGTTTGGATCCCATGGATTTTTTTAACCTGGGTCAGCTCTGAAACATGGAGTTTATGGACTGAGCATGGTGCTAGTGTAGGTGAGTTTTGGAGTTAAACGGACAGCCGCAGAACGGCTTTGCAGTCAGGCAGCTCTGAGCCATGTGTGCGATCCCTTCCCTCTCGCCTCCAAGGCAGGCTGTTTCCTGTTTTGACTGCGCCGCCTTTCGGCTGCGAGGAGTCCCGGGAAATGATGGCGGCGCGGTGCCAAGTACAAGACGGGGCGTACATTTTTCAGTGTTTCATTGCCATTTCCCAGCAGGGTAGGACAGAGGGGCAGCGGTCTCTCCATGTCGGCCGCACGCAGCGAACACGAGGTGTCAGAAATTATTGATGGGCTCTCGGAACAAGAGGTGAGACCAGGTCGCCGTTTCTCCTTCCCTTTTTCCCCACCCGCCCCATTCCCCCTTCCCTCTGGGGAACTCAGTGCAGTCACAACAGACCCCGACGGTGGAGCTGGTGCCGACTTCAGTGAACGCCAGGCCGGGCTGTGTTTAGTAAACATTGTCATGCGCAGAATGTGATTCCCTGACGCTTCTGATAGGACCCTGAGCGGGGCTTGGGAGTGTTAGCAGAATCTGTGAGAGCAAGCAGCAGCCCATCGGAGCGCCCCTCAGTGCTGACCTCATCTCCCTTCCCATCCTCGGTGCTGGGAAGCAGCGGGATCTTTTAGAGGAATTCAAGTAATGAAATAACAGTCAAGGTGGCAGGGCATTTTTTGCACTCAAATGCATCTCAGGCCATCAACTCCAGCCGGTCATTATTCCTACAAACAGGTTATTCTTTTAAACTGAAATAGGGAGTGGGGGAACAGAACCCCACAACAGCACAGGCTTCTGGATAATATTTTAATGGGCGATGCTGTTTCCCGAAGGGGATTCCTATGGGATGAATGGTTTGTACATCAGCCAGTCAGATTGACTCTCTGAGTGCTCTGATCATCGCAGGATGTCCCAGCAACATTGGCTTCTCCTGAATCTGGTTTTACGAGGGTTCCGCTTGGCTGGCTCTGGTCGCAAACTGTCAAGAGTGGGTTCGTGCTTGGGAAGAGACAGCAACTGCTGCCCAGCAATAGCTGAGCTGTTTGCTGCCTGTACTTGCTGTGCCCTTGGCTGGGAGGGAGTTTGCTTTGACCAAGTTAGAGGCTGACCCATGAGCTTAGTTCTCCGAGGCTGGGACAGATAGGCACCGTGCTTCAATTCGTTCTTCACAGAGGGGGCCTGATGCGCTTCCTGGCACTGATCTCCAGGAACTAAAGTACTCAGCGAGTGGGCCCATAGCAAAGGGTGGTAGCTAGTGCCCCATTGTAGAGAACATTTCTGCAGAGGTGCGAGACGGAGCAAACAGCTGGGATGTGCATTATGCCATTCCACCAAGCTTGGGCTATGTCTATACTGAAGCCGGGACACGGCCCAGCTGCAGCGCTTCGGTGTAGACGTTCCCTACGGCAACGGGAGGGGTTCTGCTGCACTTAATCCACCTCCCCAAGGGGCAGTAGTGAGGCCAACAACAAATTCTTCCATCAACCTAGCGCAGGCTGCCCCAGGGGGTAGGTCAGCTTCACTGCCTCACTCGGGGGTGGAGTTTTCACACCCCTGAGCAAGGTCGCCGGGTTCACCTAACGTTTTAGTGTCGACTTGGCCTTAGATAGATCCTTAGCTGTTGTCTGAGACCAGCACCAAACAGATCAGAGATCTGATTCGATGCTGCTCATTCGGGGCAGGTCCATCGTGAGCTTAACTGGTGCTAATGATGTCATTACACGTCACGGCTCTGATTATTAAATTTTGTTGGCCAGCCTGTGTTTGTCCTGGCCAACCCACTCACTTCGTGAGAACTGGCGCTTACCTCTCATTAAGAGAACATCCTTGAGAGCTATAAGCATTTTGAATGTCATCAAAGGTGTTGCCAGAGTGAGAGGCGTTGCTGTGGAGTCTGAGGATGTGGGAAGCTAAGAGGAAGCGACTTTGTGTCAGTCAGAGTGCCATGCCAGACAGCTGTAACTACTGCTCTTTGGATCGGCATGTACTCCCATCCTCTTCCGTGCTAGGATGTGGAGTTTGTGCGTGAATTTGATAGTGAAGCATCAAGACTCTTTGCAGAGTAAGAGACTCTGGCTAGGTTTACACTTCTCTGAAGTCTTAGAAGTTCAGCGTTCTCTGAAATATTGACAGCTGGTTACAAATCAAGATCAGAACATGCCACTCCAGAGCTGGGCTTCCCCGGTCCTTAATCAACGAGGGCCAGATTCTGAGATCCTTACTCACGTTGAGTTCGGGTTTGACACCGGGAAGAGCTCCACTGAAGTCAATAGGGACTACTCGTGAATTTTGCTGCTGTTAATAAATTAGAGTACGGGCATCAGAATCTGCCCCAAAGTGTTTAACAGTGAGCGGGGGAAAGGATTACGGCACAGCAATAGGCTGTCACTTTCGGTGGCAAAGCGGAGAATCTGCTGTTTGTTTAAACATCTAACGTGGCAATAAGAAATGGTTGTTGGGATGTGCCGTGAATGGACGAAGTGGCCTTTGGGAGAATGTCAGACGTGAACCTGACTATAGATTGTGTGTTTACCGAGTGGAAATTAGACCCACTTAGTAGCAAATACAGAGTCTAAGAATTGAGCGTTGTGTGGAGAAGTCCATTCAGTTATTGCCTCCAGTGCTTTGGAGACACTGCCCGTTTGAGTTTCAAACCACACTGAGAGCAGAAGGGAAGTGGAGGAGGGTGTTAGGGAAGTTTTCATAAAAACAAAAGATTCCCATGGAATGAGACTGGCTCCAGACCCATCTTTTCCACCCCCGACCCCTTCAGCCCTCCTCCCCATTTGCAAAATAACATTCAGACCAAGATATTTGCAAAACTGGACCCACTCCTGCTTACATCCAAACTGTGCAGTTGAGATTTGAGCCACTCTTTGTGTGATTTTATAAAATCCAGACCTGACTGACAAGGGCTTGCAAACCCCCAGCGAGCCCTGATTTTGCCTGTCTCTAGCTGTGTGCACAGGGGTTGGTTTCCTTGGGTCAAACATTTTTACAATGTGTCTCAAGAGCCTTTTATTTCCAAAGGGAAGATTAACTGTTTCCCTGCTGAGGGTGACAGCTTCTTTCAATATTTAATTTAGGGTTACTCCAGCAATAAAGCTGTCTAGTGCTTGCCTTTAAAGTCTCCTGTCCCACAGCCTGTCCTTTCCCTATGAACATCTGTCCCCTCTAATTCTCCCCTGGGCTCTGTGATGCTGATGAGAACTGTCCCCTTCGCTTTCTTTCCCAAAGAACCTGGAGAAGCAGATGCGCCAGCTAGCCGTCATCCCCCCCATGCTATACGATGCTGACCAGCAGCGCATTAAATTCATCAACATGAACGGCCTGATGGACGACCCCATGAAGGTGTATAAGGACCGGCAGGTGATGAACATGTGGAGCGAACAGGAGAAGGAGACCTTTCGGGAAAAGTGAGTGGACTGAGAAGTGGCTGACCGTAGCCAATGGGAATCGGGTGTTGGGAAGCGTGGTGTACGGGCTGGATAACGACTTGAGCACTGGGCCCTGGGTTGCGCCAGCAATATGGTGGTAGTGGAAAGCAGTGGTAGATTCTGTGATGACACCCTGGCTACCAGTGCATGCATAGCAGTGTGTTTTGGAAGCTGAATTCCTTGCAGTAGCTTGAATGGCTGCTGGGCTGTAGACAGCAATGACTGGTGAATCACAAAGGTTTTTTAGAAAAACTCTAAATGGTGGTATCTGTGCCAGGCAGTCTGATAACTTGGGTGAGACTGAACCTAGAAAAAAGGACCAAGGTGCAAGCCAGAATATGCCCAAGAGGAGCCGATCTAAAGGTTTGGTTTGGTATGGGGAGCCATTGGAATAGACACCCTGCTTACGAAAGGGGAAATGCATACTTTGAACTAGACAAGGTCACTGGGCTCATCTCATCTCAAGCCTTATCTGGAGAGGTTCTTTGGAGACTTCCAATCTGTCCTGGTTTTCTTCGTGTCAGGAATACCTTTGATGGCCTTCCTCATAGTTGTTACTTCCACACGCAACTGAAGCAAGCAATTGCAAAGACCCTGTGTTATTAGCCTTTTTAAATATATGGTGTCTCCCAGGGCATCAAAACTGCAATATTGCACCTGGAATGGTGCATGAGTTAATTATTTTAAGTAAAATGTAAGGAAAATGTAAGGATCAGACCTGGTTAATGACGCTAGAAGATTCCATGCATGACTGTTGCATCGTCCATGCACGATGGTTTCATTTTTGTCAGGGTGGGCCATCCGAAGTGCAAGACGCACGTATAATACAATTTACAGACATTGACAAAACTCAGCTTGCCCTGACTTCAATCTCTCCAACCCATGAAATTGAATGGGACCCTGGGTCCTGCAGTCGTTCATCACCGGCACACTCAGGTAAAAATAGGGGACCCTTGTAACTTGTCCTGGGATCAGTTTAACCAGACTTACTCAGAACTTAAGGCAGATTCCAGTTCCGTTCAAGTTGGACAAAGGGTCAGGTTGCTTTATTTTACGCCGACCTCGGCGCTTGTCCCCAACTTGGCCTTGTGTAGTGCCGGTAGAGAAGTAGAGTGTTCTGTTGTTATTATCGGGATTACAACTAGAAGCCCCCGTTTGCCCTTATTGTGCTGTGCAGAGGCACCATGGAAAAAAACAATACCTGCCTTAAAGAGCACAGCATGGAAGTATGGCCCTGCCTGAAGACAATCAGGGTCCCTTTGACAGCACAACTCGCCCATGGGACCAGAAGTCTGTCTGAGTGTTAGCAGCCTTGCGAGTGCTGACTTTGAAGAGGCCTATTGTTGTTTGCATGGCTCTGCTCTGAGTATGAAGTCATGCATATTTATAAAACTGCCGCAAAACCAAGTTCCTCGAGCAGCCATTTGTTTATACGTTTAGTACACGACAAACAGCCTCAGATCTGTGATGTGATCCCACTTTGTTAAAGTGTCTCGGATTCTTTTTTAACATCTCAGTTTCTCCTTTAGTCACATGCCATAGAAGAGCTCTCCAGGGTGTGGTATTATATTTGTATAGATTCACACGTTAGGATGCGTGATGTAACAGCCTGCAGCTGCAGATGGGTAATGTTTAAAGGGGTCTTTATTGTAAGCTTCCAAGCGCTGCGTTCCCACTGCTCCATCCTCCGCACTAGCCACCTCCCACGTGCTCAGTGCCCCCATTTATGTTCCCTTGTTGCCCCGGGAAAGCCATCTGCTGGCTGCAGCTCTGACTAGCTCCCGCTCTGCTGCAGTCATTGATTACACTGACCATCCTTAGGGCAGTCTGAGTCCGGATTCTAGTCTCACTTCAGCACATATAAAGCAGCAATAGCGCCACCCAAGTCAGCAGTGACGCTGGGATAATAAAGCTGGTGCAGTTAGACCAGAATCAGGCTCTGTGTCTGTGAAGCCTTGTACGGACGTCGATCGTTCAAACCTGACAACACCCTTGTGAGTTAACCAGTGACCTTACACGCTCAGGGAAACTGAGGCAGGGAGGTTCTGACTTGCCCAACGCCGTACAGAGAATCGGCAGCTGAACCAAGGTCTGGAGCTGGACTTCAAGCCTCACGTATGTTTCATTAGAACGTTCGGCCTCTTAGACCTCTGCCTTCCATCAGAGAGAGCAGCCAGCCCATACTGTGCAGTTGTTGTCTACAGAGAGTTTTCCCGAGGCAGAGATTTTACCGATCCCGTAACGCTGAGTCAGACGTGTGACTGCATAGGAGGCCCTCAGGAAGGTTTGACTTGTGCCATGCTGGGTTCTGTCTGCTGTCAGAGAGCCGCTCGCTCTGGGAGCAGCACAAATCCAGCAAGGGGCACTTCTGGGCCAGGGTCCATTGTGTTGAACTCCCAGCTGAATTCCCATTCCACTGCATTCCACTATGCTGAGGCTAAGGGAGCAGTTTTGTCGGGGGGAACCCAGGCAAGGTATTTTGTTTAAACACAGACAGTCCTTAGCCATAGCTTTGGCAACGCACCAGTTTGTTTTTCCCTTGCATGCCAGGAATAGCGTATGCCAAACACTCTTTAGTCCTGTCCCACTAGTTAAAGAGGAGGGGTTGGTTAGAGGAGCTGTTGCTTTTGCATTGTAGGCTCTCTCCCTGCTGGAGGTGCAGCCGCTCAGAGGCGCTATTAGCTGCTCCAGCTGGGGTCAGCCTGCTGACACCGTGTGTGTTCTGCAAAGGGGGAAAGCCCCTCCAAGCCTCCATCGCCCTGTCAATCTCTTGGGTAACTCAGAAGCCTGCGAACTACTCGCGTTGTCCTGCAGTTCCAGCAACAAGCTGAAATAACACATGAAAGGAAGCTGTTTCCCCCATCTGGGGTTGCGCTGTTTAATTACCGACTGTGCTGTCTTTAAACATAGGGGGGAGAGAGAGCGCATTAAAAGCCAGGCTTTAACAGACACAAGTGATGATGCATCTGTTCAGACAGGGTTCGTTAGCTGGCAACATTTGGAACCCTTTGTCCCTCGTAGTTTGGGGTGTTTCTTACAGTAGCCAGCCCTCTGCCATGGCGGCCGAAAGGTGAGAGGAAATAGGGGTGGTTTATAATGGCTCACAGTTGCGTTCAGGTGAACTTCCCATGAAATAGTTTTCTAAGACCCCATTCCCCACCCGTAGCCAGTGCCGAGGTAACGTGGCACCAGCCATTCCCCACCCGGACAGAGTGCCAAGGTAACGTGGCACCAGCCATTCCCCACCTGGACCCAGTGCCGAGGTAACATGGCACCAGCCATTCCCCACCCGGACCCAGTGCCGAGGTAATGTGGCACCAGCTAGCACATTCTGTTCTCTGCACCAGGAGATGTTTTTCAGACATGAAGCTGTTAAATCACAGTGAAACCTGCACTAAGGATCCTTTCCTACAGGCAAACCCCTGCCTTGGGCAACCACTTCAAAGGATGTCCAAGATTCCCAGGCCACGTTTGCTCAGCCTTTGCTTAAGGATCAGCCCGTTTCTTGCTGGTCACTTATATGTCTGCAAGTCCGACTCCAGACATTAATTCCATGTTCCCTTAGCACATCATTGCCAGCTACCAAGATACTGCTCGGCAGACTATGCTCAGTCTTTTCTCGTCCTTCCCCTTCTCAGGCCAGATTGGGTCTTTGCAGCTGCAGGCTGGTATTCTTGGCATCAGAGCTCTGGGCTCAATTGCAGCATAAACCAAGCCGCAGGTGGTGGCGTCACTAGCCCCTAGATTCTTTGGTAGATCATCCATCATTGTAAGAATGTAGAAGGGGAAATCTCATGATCATTTAAAGCCATGGCTCCTAACCTCTCTTGGCACCTCTATCAGTTCATCAGAGTATGGGGGAAATGCATCTGTGGAGGGTGGCTGAACTGCATAGCCGATGCATCCCTAGCTTCGCAGACCTACAGCCGCGTGCCCCTCACTGAAGGGGGCAGCTGCCCAAGCAGAGTAGCTGTGTGTGGTGGGGAGGGGATTGTTCCAAACCCTCCTTATAAGAACACCCTGCACCATGCCTGCTGTGTGAGCTGCTATGGTCAGCACTCACCCCGATGAATGGCAGGCAGGCAGTGATGGCGTGATGGCGCCCAGCACAGGGAGGGATGGAGGGGGACACCCAGGACACACCAGAGCCAGAACCCTTGGGTGCTAGCACCGATAGACTTGTTTGGTGAACCCCTGGCTCCATTGAAGTCAATGGCAAAGCTCTCATTGACTTCAGAGGGGTCAGAATCGTCACCTCTTGCCTTTCTCAGGCTGGGTGAGCGTTTGGGTCTTTTACTGGAAGGGGCTGAGTGAGTTTGACGCTCTCCCAGGAGCGCAGCTTCCATGCGGCTCTCACTTCTCCCAGGGGACTTCTGACCAGCAGCTGGTCCTGGTGGTGCCAAGGCATTTTAATCATGCTTAGTGATTTCCCTGTAACTTCCTCGCAAAGGGAAAACAAATGAGCCGTTTCAAACTCCTCTCTCTCCTACGCTTGGCACTTAAAGGGAATCGGTTGCAATCTTCTGCCTCTCTTTCCTTCGACGGGGCTTGAGAGAGAGGCTGGCATGAAGCGGAGTAGTTGTTAGGCCTTCCTGTCGTATGTGATTTAGCTGATTGCTGAAGACTGTTCCATGGCACTATCTGTTTCAAGATACTGAAGCTTTTTGTCCTATTTCTTCTCTCTTTCCCTGCCCTGCTATGCAAACCTGTGGAATAAACGCCAAAATACTGGGGGTGGGGTTGGGGGAAGGAGACACTTTCTCCCCCACCTTCAACTCCCAGTCAACAAAACTTGAATCGGCTACATTGAAAGTTCTCCTCTTTCTGGGAAGCTGCCTCATCAGGACAAATAAATATTTTCTCAAACCAATGAGTCACTTGAAAAGCTCCCTCCCACCCGCCCCACTGCCCTCTGCCTTTCCGATTGCAGGCTCGCTTTGCCAGCAGATGGAGTGCTGCAGGCAGCTGCAAGGCCAGAGCTTGGGATCACAAAGGCAAACGTGGAGAACAAACAGAGAGATCTCCCGGCTTTCACTTTAACCTTTTGTCTCTTGCTCTCCTAGGTTCATGCAGCATCCAAAGAATTTTGGTGTGATTGCTTCATTTTTGGACAGGAAGGTAAGTTGATTTGGTTTGTAACGAAGTGATTTTAAACCCCTTATCTGTCGCTGTCTTTCATTTATCTCAAGTGTTTCTCTAGCACCTGTCCCCAAAGTATCTAATGCACAGAACTATTCCTCCTGTTGAAAAACCTTCTTTTATAATGCCCGGTGTCGCCACAGAGTTTCTTTCACCAAAGAATCAGAGTCACTTTATAAATCCTGTATTTGCTATGGAAAGGCAGCCACTTCTGGGGCAGAGGGAGCCAGCGAGGTGTCTGCACACTAGCCAGAGGAGGGAAAGTGCTGGCCAAGGACGTCCGGGCATAGCCCTATTTTTATGAGAGAACGTGGGCCTGGAATGTCTGTGGAGAGCAGGCAAGGACCTTCGTTTTTCTGGTCTCATCTGAATGACCCCACATGAAATGAAGTCGCTGGGTCTCGGCTCAGCTTGGAAGGGTGCGAGGTGGAGTCAGCTCTAAAGGGATTTGGAGCTCAGGGTCCCAGGGTGTCAAACCTACGGTGTAGGCAGCTAAACCCACGCCTCTGCTTTATGCCACATTTTGTAGGCATCTCCCATCAACTGGAGTGTCTTGTATTGGGGGGGTAGCAGACATCCGTCGTGCCCTGTACCGTGTGCTGCCCCTGTCTCGGCTCAGGGCTGGGCCCCAGAGATGTTGTGACTAGTAACCCACTGATCTCTTGCATTATCGTTTTTCTTTTTTTAATTCTGAAAAACCATCAATAGCCAAGAGGTTTTTTGTGGTGGATAGACACTGAAAGGGCCCGAGCTCCCCAGTGCGCGTTCCTGATGGATTGATTTACATCAAGGGACTTTCCTGACCCCCCACTAGTTGGACAAACAGAGGAAGTATTTGAAAAGCAGACCCCAGAACATAGTGAATCTTCTGTTCCTCCCAAGACAAGACAAGCAATCTGTACGAGAGCGGGGCAGCCTGGAGGTTTGGGTGGTATCAAATCAGTAAATCCTAAATGGGCCCAATGTCGCGGCATCTGGGAAGGAAGTCTCTAGGCTAGCACTCCAGTCCTAGCACTTTTGACCTGTAGATCTCAAACACTTTGCAAAGGAGGGAAGCATCATTATTGCCACTTTACAGATGGGGAAATTGAGGCATAGAGCAATGAAGTGACTTGCCCAAGGTCACACAGCAGGTCGGTGGCAGAGGTGGGAAGAGAGTCCAGGTCTCCTGAGTCCCAGACCAGTGTGCTAGCAAAGAGACTGCCCTTTCTCTAAAAGGATGGGATCTGCTAGGACATGGCCAGCCACTTATTGTCCTGGTTGTCCAAGTTGCAAACCAACTTCTGTCTCAGGAGAATATCATCGTAGCCTGGATTAACACACTCAGATTCTGGAGCAGAAAGCTCCATTTCTCATCCCAACTGGCAAACAGGGCAATAGACACACAGACCCTCTTCTAGAAAGCCTAGCAGGCACATGGCCTATGAAACACCAAGATCTTCCCAGTTCTTCCACGTCATTAAGTCAGATTTGTTATGCCTTGGCTGGTACCAGCAGTCTGCTCTCTCTTCCAAGCTATAACATGTCTCTGCCTTTTAGTTATACTCTTTTACAACACAGGCTGTAATTATGGGACCCAACATGTCCACTCGCCTCTTTGTGATGGCAGTCAGAGAGAGATGCTCAACGTAATCAACTAATAAATTTTTAAATTTGTTTTTCAAACATTTGTAATCGTTTGTAGTGATCTTAGCCCTTGGAACAGGTAGGGGTGTGTGTGTGTGTGTGTGTGTGTGTGTGTGTGTGTGTGTGTGTGTGTGTGTGTGTGTGTGTGTAATTGGGGCTATGGAAAGGGATCCAATTAACGCTTTAGAACAACCAGACTCTGTTTTGCAAACAGCTTTATTCTCCCTGCGCGACTGCAACAGCCGTGTCGGCAGGTACTGTGCAGCCTACTTATCCTGTCGACAGAGCCGCCTCTGTGCATGCAGAGCTGCTCACTGTGCGGCTGCCTTCTGTACTAGAGCACCGTCGTGTTCCAAACTCCCCCTTTCTCCGGTTTTCTAATGCAACTGGTCCATACGTCGTTGCTCTAGGCCGGGGCCTGCCTCTCTCTCAGCATTGTAATTGGAATCCAGGCAGCAGCTTCTGAAGGCAGAGGACTCAGTATGTCAGATGGACAGGGAAATGTGTTCAACCCAGCAGTTGTGGGATCCAGCACTGCCGGCGCTCTATTCTGGATGGGGGGCACTGATAGGAAGGGGTCCCAGCTCATCACTCTAAAGTTCGCTGGGTGTTGAGTGTCCTGGGTATGCATGGGGGCTTGCTCTGTTCCATGGCTGAGCATTTCTCCTAAATCGCTGGGCCCATCCTGAGCTCTCAAGGGAAAGCCTTGCTCTGGGTGGGTGTGGGAATGTTTTTTGCCCTGCATACCTCCGGTAATCGAAGGAAACCCTGCTGTGTCGGGGTCTGGACACATGCAGTGTGTCGCGTGTGCCCAAACGCACAGTGCTGGAATCCTGCGCTCTGAAAGAATGCTAGTGTCAAAAGTGCCGTGCTCCGTAACTTCCTGTGTCGTTACAGACGGTGGCAGACTGCGTGCTCTATTACTACCTGACCAAGAAGAGTGAGAACTACAAGAACCTGGTGAGGAGGAATTATCGACGAAGGGGGAAGAATCAGGTAAGAGGTGAAGACAGATGCACGGGACCTTTAGCCCAGGGGTTCTCAAGCTGGGGGTTGGGACCCCTCGGGGGGTTGCGAGGCTTTTACATGGGGGATCGCGAGCTGTCAGCCTCCACCCTAAACCTCGCTTTGCCTCCAGCATTTATAATGGGGTTAAATATATTAAAAGGTGTTTTTAATTTATAAGAGGGGGTTGCACTCAGAGGCTTGCTATGTGAAAGGGGTCACCAGTACAAAAGTTTGAGAACCACTGCTTTAACCGGTCTCTCCTCCTGACCACACAGCAGCAATCCTTTATATTCACAGCCCACAAGTGTCAGGTTAAGGTGACCCATACCCGATCATTCCTCCTCTCCCCAGGGAGTGGGTAGCCTGGTTGCTGGCCGCAGTGGCTCTTCCCATCAGGGCACTGATCTTGGAATTGAAAAGCTGTTTGGGGCCTTGTCGTGGTCAGAGCGGTTCACTGACTGGCTCTCGAGGTGTTGTCGTCTGGGAAGTGGTGACATTTATATATTCTCCTCCTCCCCAGCTTATCAGTAGATTTAAAAAAGAGACTATTTAAAAAGGGAATTAGTGCTTGTGAAAGACCCGAGAGGCTGGAGTCCTCGGCGTACACACTAGGCAGTAGAATAAGTTTCCCCAAGCTGTCTACCACTGCACCTCACTGCCACGGCTCTAGGGACCACCAGCCTTACAGGTGAGAAGAATATTCAGTCCCCTTGGGCCATTTAGATCTTTGCCTCCCTCAGACTGTCAGTAAAGGTAACCGTTGTGGCAGTGGCTTTTGTGATATGGATCCTTGAGATGTATCTGCTCCTTGGGAACTCAGCTGAGACCACTGAACTCATTTCACAGACAACCCAAAAGAACTGGCAGTGGCGTGTGGTCACCCTGTGCGGTCAGCTCCAGGGCTAGATTTGAGCCAGTGACTGAAAGGTCACATTAACTCTGCCACTGAGATTTTCCAAGCTGTCTAAGGGAACTGGGTGTCCACGTCTCTTAAGCAGCATCGACCGTCTCAGCCCACGTCTTTAACCCAGTGGGAAGTGTGCTGGTGAATCCCGAACCTTTAGGAACTGTCCATTTCACAGAAGGGGGGCGGGGAGAATCTATTTAGATAACATGATGCTAGGGAGGGGAAAAAAGGCTAATGCCATTCTTTCTTGTCCTATTATATTATCAACATAAGCAGTTCATCCCGATGCCTTGCTATAAGAGGTACTTGTCTGATTGGAAGGGAGATAGGTAGCTTTACCCCAATTTGATCTCCACAGCATTAAGGCACCAGAATAGTTAGCACATGATGAATACCACAGTCTGGCCCAATTTTCTCTTCTTTTTTTCAGACTTAGAAATGGAAAAGGCCTATTAGGTGATCCATCTCCCTGCAAACATGGGATGGTTCCCTGCAGTACATTTTATAGTGTTGACCATGGTCTGTTTTGTTAGATCACAGCAACTAGGACGTGAGGCCACGTTCATTCCTTGTTCATATCAGAGGCACATGGCTAATTCTGATTTCAGTGTTGAATTGAGCAAGTAACAGGCACAGGGAGTGAATTTACCACCCTCCTCTGCTTGTAGATGTGCACCTGTGTGGTGACATACCTGCATATACTTCACTTAGAGTGTTTTATTTACATTTTAGGTTATAAACCATACTTGGTTACAAAAAGTCCCCGGGGGCTTGCTCACAATTAATGAATGGGCCTGTGTGTGATCACTAGAAGTAGGGTTCTGTCATTTTGGAGGCTTGTAAATGTCAAGCATTTGGAATTTGAGGATATCGATTAAAATAAGAGCGTCGGATCGGAAGTTTTGAAGGGGTATGTGGAATAATCAAGCCTTTATTAAATCTATTATTATTACCAAGCGCCCAGAAGTGTGCTAGGTGCTTCGCAGAAAAAGGAAAGCTGTATGGACAGATCTTCCATGGGCGTAATTTGGCATCGTTCTGTTGAAATCAGTGCATGGGTTGATTGGAGGTGGTGAAGCACAAGGGAACAATGAGACAAAACAGGGTCGGTATGAGAATTCGTGGTCTCAGCGCATAAGGTTTTCAGAAACCCTGCAGCTGTCTGAACAACAGGAGAAAGGGGGCTTCTATGCAACCTTCGTAACATCAGTCTGCATTCCACCTTGTTAACTAGAATTGATGCAGTTAAAGCATTGAACTTGCCATTCTAGATGGAAGAGATTTAAACATGAGAAACTGGGATTTAGTAGAGGGGGGGAAAAAAAGAAATGTAGTGTTTGTCGTAGCAGAGCATGCAGCTGAATTCAGATAGAAATCGCGTTTCCGCTGGGTCTTTTGTTGCTCTGTTGATGCTTTTGAGAAGGCAATATTGGTGGTTTTATTTGCTTTGAGGAAAGAGGGGAGCTCAGGGCGGGTAGGAGATAATTATGAGATGAAATGAGCTTTTCTAGTGTCAAGACTGTCATTGTGGTCTAGTTATTAGAACATAAATTTAAAAAATTCCCGTAGCTGCTTTGGCTGCTTGTCCCCTGGCAAAGGATATTCCTTGTACAGCTGCTATTTACTGCTGAAAGAGCTCTTGCTGCAATCAGGGACTTCGCAGGCTCGACATAATAAAACCCAGGAGGCTGGTGGTCTAACGCAGAATGTGGGCTCACTGGTTGGTCTGTTTTCCAAACTCGAATGAGAGAAAGGTGAGCAAATCTGATATCCTGTCATTCCTACTCCCCCCTCACCAACATGCTAACACTCTCTAAAATAATGACTTTGAATTCAATTAAAAAAATCACACTGCAGTGCCCTTTGGCCTTTGAGCACTGGATCATTTAACAATTTAAGGGCAATTCATAATCTTGAAGTTACAGTCTTAATACCTTAACCCCAGATAGAGTACAAAGTTAATTACATACTGTCTTTATGTCTGTGTTTTGTCAGGCGTTCTACAAGCAGATAACAAGCTTAGCTAATATACTTGAGCTTGTGTTAATGGGGATTTTAACTTCCCTGATACCTGTTGGAAGACTCTTACATAATATGCAAAACATAATATGTCCTGCAAGTTCTTAGCATGTGTAGGGAACAACTTTCTGATTCAAAAAGTTTAGGAAACAACTTGGGGGTCATCCATTTTGATCTGGTTTTGACCAACAGAGATGAATTAGTTGCGAAGGGGAAGATGGTTGGGAAGTTGGGAGGAAGTGAACATGAGGTGATAGAATTCAAGATCCTAAGGAAAGGAGGACACGAGAACAACAAACCAAGGACACAGGATTTCAAAAAGGCAGATTTCAAGCAACTCAGAGAAATAGTAGGCAGGATCCTATGGAAAGACCAATTAGGGGGGGGAAAAAGAATCAGAGGGCTGGCAGTTGCTAAAAGATGTAATACAGGAGGCTCAACATTTAAGCTATTCCGACACAAAGGAAAGAGAAGAGCCACAGAAGACCAGCATGGCTGCACAAGGAACTTTTTAGCTATCTGAAAACCAAAAGGAACGGAGGGGCATGTCCCCAAGGAAGTATAATGGGAATAGAGCGAGCATGTAGGGACAGAGTCAGGAAAGCCAAGGCAAAGAATGAGTTACAGCTGGCAAGAAATGTTAGAGACAACAAGAAGGGGTTCTACAAATAGGTTAGAGACACAAAAAAAAGATCAGGGATGGTATGCGTCCTCTGCTCAGTGGAGAAGGTGAGCTGGTAACAGAGGATGATCGGAAGGCGGAGCTGCTTAACGCCTACTTTGTTTCAGTCTTCACACAAAAAATAACATGTGACCAGATAGATGACCAGTGAAGTTATCATAGACAATAAAGGGGGAGGGATGCAGCTCAAGATAAGCGAAGAACACGTCGGGGATCTTCTGACTAATCTGAATGAATTCAAATCAGCGGTGCCTGGTGCTATTCACCCCAGGGTGCTGAAGGAATTCGCTAAAGAAATCTCGGCGCCATTGGCAATAATATTTGCAAACTCATGGATGACAGGAGAGGTCCTGGAAGCCTGGAGCAGGGCTAACGTAGGGCCCATCTTTAGAAAGGGGGGGAAAGGAGAAGCTGGGGAACTATAGACCAGTCAGCCTGACCTAGATACCTGGGAAGCTACTAGAGCAATGTCTAAAACATTCAATTTGCGAATACTCGGAGGATGAAGGGGTGATCACTAGCAGCCAGCATGGATTTACCAAGTACAAATCCTGCCAAACCAGCTTGATTTCCTTCTTTGACAAGATAACTGGTTTAGTGGTTAGGGGGAATGCAGTGGACATAATATACCTGGACTTTAACAAGGCTTTTACTATAGTACCACATGACATTCTGTTAAGTAGCTGGAGAAATGCAGGCTCGGTGGAACTGCCATTAAGTGGATACATAATTGGTTAAACAACCGCAAACAAAGAGTAGCTATTAATGGACTGTCAGATTGGAGGTAGGTCTCAAGTGGGGTTCCATGGGGATCTGTAACTGGGTTCAGTGTTGTTTAACATCTTTATTAATTACCTGGATGTAGGAATACAGAGCATACTGATCAGATTTGCAGGAGGGTTGCCAGCCCTTTGGAGGGTAATGCTAAAATTCAAAGGGATCCTGATAAATTGGAGAACTGGGCTATAGACAACAAAATGAAATTCAACAAAGACAAATGGAAGGTGCTCCACTTAGAGAAGAAAAACCAAATGCCCAAATTCAGAATGGAGGATAACTGGCTTGGCAGCAGGACCTCTGAGAAGGATCTGGGAGTTGTGGTGGATCACAGTCTCAATATGAGTTAGCAATGTGATGCTGTTGCAAAAAAAGCAAATGCAATTTGAAGCTGCATTAACAAAGGCACAGCAGACAAATCACGGGAGGTGATTGTACCGCTTTACTCGGTGCCGGTTAGGCCTCAGCTGGAGTACTGTGTCCAATTTTGGTCACCAATGTATAAAAAGGATGTAGAGAAACTGGAAGGGATCCAGAGGCGAGCGACAAAGATGATCAAAGGAATGGAACGCAAGCCATATGAGCAAAGGCTGAAGGAACTGG